CACACACACACACACACACACACACACACACACAGGCACACACACACGCACACACACCCCTCCCTTTTGTCTCCACCCTCAGTAAGCCTCTTTTGAGCAGCGCATGACAAGGATTGAAACACTAGTTTGGAAGTCGATAAAAAAAGAAAATATATTTGGAAGGAGAGGGCCTTGGGCAATTTGCATGCGCACTCCCTCGACTTGGTTCCTTCTTGTTTTTCTCTGTTTTTTTGTTGTTGTTATTTGGGGAAATTTGAACCATTTTTCGATCCTTGCATGTCATCTTTGCGCAGGGGGCATGCTAATCTTTTCTGTATCGTTCCAATTTATTTTGTTAACTGGCCTTCCATGCTGGGGGGATGATTTGAGCATCCCGCTCTAATAGGGTTGTTGGTTGCTCCTTTTCATTGGTGGGGAGTTGCACCTGCTGGAAAACGTGTCCAGCGTCACAACATCGAGTATGTACATTGATAGAGTGATTGAATCCACTGCTAGTATTGATTAGCTGGAGAGGATGGGGGATGGTCTGTGCGGGGGAGGAGTGTGGCTCCTAGTCGCTTGAAAGCTAGCCTGCCCACCTAGCACCCCTGCACCACAAACTCTTGTGCCATGAATGAATCAGAATGAGCAAATAGAACAATATAAGCAGTACAACATTTTTGGGTGACCTACAGACTGAGCGGGATTGAGGAACTGGACCGGACCCTTTTGCTGGCACTTCCCTTCTGCCTTTAAACCCTAAACCTACGTAGCACCGAGTTCACGTTCGGAGGCGAACGCGAACATGTTCGTCCAGACCCGAACGAGCGCCCAAACCCCTCCAAACACGAACATTAAAAATATTTATAAAAAATTGAAAAAATTCTAAAAAAACTCTAAAAACAATATATGTTATGTATAATAACAATACAAGCAACGTTTGCCGTGGAGTCGTGTTCAAACTCGTCGCCAACCATGAGTTAAAAAGCAAAGACCGAAAAAAAAAATATATATATATATATAGCCTCCTGATGAGTCGGTGAAACTCCGACGAAACAGTTTGTCACAGCCCCTCGTTTGTTGCCCTCTTCTCCCTCTCTGCCTACGGTTTACCGGGCAGTTCTATTTGACGATATATATATGATGTGTCGGTGAAACTCCGACGAAACAGTTTGTCACAGCCCCTCGTTTGTTGTCCTCTTCTCTCTCTCTGCCTACGGTTTTACCGGGCAGTTCTGTTTGTGACGATATATATACAAGGTTGCCGGCCTTCGGGACAGGCCGAATGCCCGAACGTTCGGGACCCCCTCTCAACATGTTCGGCCGTTCGGCCGAACGCGGAGCCAAATTAAAAAAAAAAAAAATAATAATAATAAAAATAAAAATAAAAAAAAATTGAAGCAGTTTTGGCATAGTAGGATAACTCGGTCTTGGGCCGCCTGCTGCTGAGCCCACTCATTCAAAGCATTCTCCGTTCCGTGCAAAGCAATGTTGGCTAGTAAAGGCGATATAATTTTAGACTCGCGAGAACTATATATAGTTATAGGCGGCCGAAAAGAATTTAAAAAAATCTGAAAAAAATATATGTTATGCATAAGAATAAACTAAACAACATTTGCCTCAACGTTACATCCAAATTCTTTACCAAATTTGAAATAAAAATCAACTACTAAAAATAAATAATAATGATAAAAATTAGGGGGAAAAAAAACGAGAAGAAAATTATTGAGTGGGCGAGCACATTCTTGACACCGCCATCTTTGGCGATTTTTTATTTTTTTTGGTTGTGACCAATGCCATGAAAATTTATATATCTGTAGCTTACATAATAGAGAACTTACAAATAAAGTTTGAAAAAATAATAATTTTTTTCATACCCCGAAATAAAGGAAAAACTAAAAGTCAGAAGAGAAAAAAAACAAATTAGTGAGTGGGCAAGCAATTTTTGACACCACCATCTTTGCCGATTTGTCATTTTTTTTGGATTAACATAATGGCTTCAAAATTAACAGGGAGATACCTTATATCACAAAAAACTCACACAAAAAAATTCAGAAAACAATAGTAATATTTAGGTGCCAAAATATTTTTTTGCAGGGTCCGAACCCTTTCAGTTTCGGGCCCCGTACGGGGACCCGAACGCCCGAGCGTTCAGGGGTCAACTTAGGGGTCTCCGTACGTTCGGCCTGGCAACCCTGTATATATATATATACGAAACAAAATTATGTTCGCCCGAACATGTTCGGGAGCTGTTTGCGCGAACGTGAAGGGGCGCGAACACGTTCGCTTTTCCCCGCGGTTTTTTTTGCTCACTCTCTCTCTCTCTCTCTCTCTACCTACCTACCTACCTATCTATCTATCTATCAATCTATTTATATAGATATATAGATATCTCCCGCTTTCTTACTCTCACAAACATACACACATAGAAAAGGCTTAAGGGAAAATTAAAAGTGAAAAGTAAGAAAAATAAAATACTAAAAATAGTGAGTGCGAAAATATGTTTTTTGACTGTGCAATCTTTGATATATTTTATATATATATATATTCTCTCTCACACACACACACACACACAAACACAAACATACATACATATATATATTCTCTCTCTCACACACACACACACAAACATACACACATAGAAAAGGTTTAAGGGGAAAAAAATAAAAGTAAGAAAAATAAAATTTTCAAAATAGTGCGAGAACATGCTCTTGACAGTATCATCTTTGATAATTTTTTTATTTTATTTTTTTGGATCAAATGCCCCGAAACTTTATGAGGATATTTTTCACATCACAAAGAACCCATAAAAGAAAGTCTCGAAACAAGTTTTGTTGGGGATTGAAATTTGTGAATTTCACCCTCTTTGCGTTCGTAAAACCCCCTGAATGTTCGGGGGTGATGTAGACCCATATCGAATATTCAGTCTGGTAACTTTGTATATATATGTATCACATATTCAAATATGATATAGATATTTATTTAATTATCTTATATGTTATATATGTTTGAAATATATGCAAGCTTCAACTTTCATATGAGTCAACGGAACAATAATAAAATAGTTTGTTACAATTTCTCATCCTTTTTTCCTTCTGCCTACGCTTTGGGCACTTTATAGTGACTATATGGATTATATATTTTATGTTATGTATATATATTTATATGATAATCTATGTGGTATTATAATGTCACGAAACATTGTCCTAATGGTAAGGAAGTAGGTAAACAATCAGTTTTACACTCATGTGTTTTCCAACACATATTTAATTGTACTTATGAAAAGTATATGTATTTGTGTGTGCAACGCCTACGTTTATATTATAGGAGAAAAAAATAAATAAATTGTAAATCAGTCATTAGAAATAACATAAGGTCAATTTTAATTATTTTTCTATAGAAATGGAACTATAAAATTTATGGGAGACGCATCTAACATAATAAATGGTGTAGGTAGCAACACTTCTTTGACTCAATTGTTCCAACAATCACAAACCATGTTAGAGCCTTATTTGGTTTATCATAATCTAAGAGCACCTTGATACATTGACAAATGCGAAGGTAGGTTTTTGCAAGTGAACCTACTCCTTCGTTCCTTAAAGTTTGTATTGAGATAATATAAACCATGGCTACCCCTGACCCGGACACCCATCACGTCCAGACACGGAACCGGACCTGTGTCCGGTCCAATACGGACATCTTCTGGACACCGAACAAAATCGGACCCGGACGGTCCGGATTTAATTTAAAAAAAAAAAAAAAAAAAAAAAAAAACGTAATGTCAGTCTGCTGATTGCAAAAGCGGGCTGCAAGTGTCAGCAACCCCGGGAGATTGAGATACTTAAAGTAACTTAATCATACTTACCTCTTCTGAATTCCAAGCCTGAAAAAGGCCACAGCATGGCATCATCTGCCAGATAATCGGACCATTCTTTTACAAGCACACTGCCAACAGAATGAGGCCAGATCAGATCTCTATAAGTTCATAACTTCGTAAGTTTTATCAAAAGAGTTGAGCAGCAGAAAACAGTGCAATGAAAAGCGGTTGACACGAATATCTAGTCAGCAATGCTGCTAACATCACTCTCTCTCTCTCTCTCTCTCTCTCTCTCTCTCTCAAAATAGCGTATGAGAGAGGCAGTTCTCATAGCCACCCCATCACTAGCCAAATCACTAACTAAGTCAATCTAACTGTTTGTGCCGCTTCGAGGCCAAAGGTTGTGCCTCTGAGTCATAATCTTCTTCAGAGCCGCAGTCCTCTGCAGAACTGCTGTCACTCCCATCATCATCCCTTGCCTCACTTTCAACATCAGCAGTCCCCGGGGAAGCTGCTGTGTCCGCGGACAATTGAACTGCCTCCTTCCGTGGTCTGCCCCTTGGACGTTTGGCAGATGTCACAGCAACAACTTCTTCTTCTGATCTGCCCTCCTCCTTCTCCTCCTTTTGACAGGTTTTGCAATTGGTGCACAAACCTTGGCCCGGGCAGCTAGATATTTCTCAGCGTGTTCTGAAGTCATTGTTTTCGTGACTCTCTCCATCTCATCCAGATGGGCCCGGACCAAATACTTGGAAGCCCTGGTAGGCTTCCTCCACGATTTATTCATCTCCCTCTCCAGTTCGAGGACACTACTATGAAATCTGCGACGCGTCACGTCCCCATGTGTTGTGCGCATACCGTCTACAGCTGCCTCACCACCCACAACCTCATCAACTGCAGGCACATTATCATCATCATCATCACCATCGTCCTCATCATCATCAGTGTCATTCAAATTGTCATTCGCAGTCCGCAAACGAGCCCGCCATTCCTCCACTCGCTTTTTTGCATCCTGAGAGAGCTCCTCCACTTGCTTTTTTTCCTCCTGATAATCCACCTCCCATGGAATGTCGTCACCGCCACGTTGTTTGGCACCCGCCAAGTTGTCCAGCAGACGCTGGCAGACGCTGATTCCAGCTATTGAAAACCAGCGTGATGAGTTTCACAACACCCAAGTTGTTGCGCGGCCGAGAGTGGATCCGTTCAAAAAGGCTTCAATTCCTCTCGCATCCTGAGGAGGAGGAACCCTGACCGAGCAAGCGAATTGCCTGCTTTTGCAAGTTAGGCAAGTCGCTGCAATCTTTTCTCCACCATCTTGCAGGCTGAGCTCCACGTGCTGCCTCCCTCGCTTCTTTGGAATTGAACCGCCATGTTCCCTCTATCCAGCTATTCACCCCCTCATCAACCTCTTTGTACTTCGGTTTTGGACACCACGAGTAGAGCCATGTCCAAAACCCATCTGCGACCTCAACATCCTTGTCTGGACGCATTGTTCTATACTCCGGGTCCAATAACATTGTTGCGCAATGCAGCGGTGATGTCATCACATTCCAGCGACACATGATGATATCCTCGAACTCCTCCTTCTCCACATCGCTGAAACATTCTTTTGCCCTCAACTTCTCCACCACACAGTCCATGCGGCCATACACTTTGCTAATCGTGGGTAACTGTCCATCCACGAACCTCAGTAGGTCTAACAATTCCTTGGATGTTTCCTGCACCTTCGCCACCCCCGCCCAGAAGGAATCATCAACGACGAAGTGGGTGGCACTCAAGAACAACTGTCGCTGTGTTGAATTGACAATGTGGGTGGCACCCGGTTTTGCCACGACTGAGTCATTTGAGGAGAGCAAAAGGTCCCGCACCTTTGAGTGGTTGGTGAAGAACTTTGCGACCTCCCACGCCCTGTTCAAAACATCATTAACCCACCCTATCTTTGCGAATGCCTCCAAAATCAAATCTATGCTGTGCGCAGTGCACGACACAGAGAAAATGTGCGGGAAATCCACCTCAATCATTCGTCCATCACGTGCGCACACAGCTGCGTTATCCATTACAATCCCCACCACTGAATCTTCGCCAATCTCCATGATGGCCTTCCTCAATATGTCATAGTACACGACAGATCCTTTGTCACGCCTGGACATGCACACACTCCGCCAAAATATTACCCCCTTCGAAAAAGAGATCATCACATTGATGTGTGGCCTCGCACGCCGATCGGTCCACCCATCCAATTGCAGCAAGCAACCAGTGGTGGGCCACTGCTGCCGCAATTCCTCTACCCTTGCAGAAACCCTCTGTCGGATTTTCTGCACTCGCACTGTTCGCGCCTTCTCGTACTTTGCGTATTGAAACGAGGTTGGCGCCTTCATCAGGTTTTTTACCAATCTATCCCAGTATATGCTCCTCATCATGTTAAAAGGGATGCACTCCGCAGTCATCGAGTCGTCAATGGAGCGCTGAGTCTCCTCGTGGGTCGCAAACACAACACCGTTGTTCATGATGGTAGCCTGGCGCAATAGTGTTCCGGACCCAGGCTCGGAGGCAGCCGCTGGACATTCCGGAGTGACATCTCCCGGCACAATCTCATTCTCCTCCGACGAACCCTCCTCCACCAGTGCGCTTGCCGCCCCAAGCTCCGACAAGGCTTGTAGTCTCCCTCTCTCCCTCCGCTGGAATTCCTCCCTCGGCAAGGTTCCTTTCAACCGGCTGACATGACATCTCGACTTCAGGAAGTGGTCTCTCGCCCTGTTGGCTGTCCCACTGACTGGCCTGTCACAATACTTGCATCGTCTACTCCTGTTGCCTTTATTAAGTGGACCTACTGGTCCCAAGTCTGCGAAGTGTTTTTTAACGGCCTCCTTATTGTACTTCGTCATTCTGCAAACAGGTGTGATCCAACCATTGGCAAGAACATGTTTATTATCAGAGTCGGTCTATTCTCTCTCGTCTATCGAAATTCCTTTTCTGTTTCATTGTCTCAATCAATCAATCAATCAATCAATCAACCAACCAACCAACCAACCAATCAATCAAGCAGTAAAGTCGATCAATCGACCAACCAATCAATCAACCAATCAAGTCAAGATTGACTTGATTGATTGATTGTTTGATTGATCGACTTGACTGATTGATTGGTTGGTTGATTGATTGATTGATTGATCGATTGATTGATTGATCGATTGATTGGTTGGCCAATCGATCGATCGATCAATCAATCAATCAATCAATCAATCAATCAATCAATCAATTGATTGACTTGATTGATTGATTGATTGGTTGATTTATTGATCGATCGATTGATTGATTGAGTTGATTGACTTCATGGATTGCATAGTCAATGAGACAGGAAACATCCATCCCTCCTCCTCGCCTCTATCCCTCCACTTCAACCCTCCATCACTGCTCCTTGTACTCGCCTCCATCCCTCCTCCTCCTCCCGCCTGCCTCCATCCCACCTCGTCCTCTTGCGCAAGCTTCATCGGAGTATAACGACAAAAAAAAAACGAAGTGGAATCCATCTCTCCTTCTCCTCCTTGCTCCATCCCTCCTCCTCGTCGCAACTGCCTCCATCCCGCCTCCTGCTCAAGAAACAACTGGCCGCCAAGTCGGCATATAACAACCAAAAAAGAAAAGAAAAAACCCACCTCCTACTCCGGGTCAAGAAACAACTAGGTTGGATTGCTTAGTCAGTGAGACAGGAAACATCCATCCCTCCTCCTCGCCTCTATCCCTCCACTTCAACCCTCCATCACTTTGTCTCGTACTCGCCTCCATCCCTCCTCCTCCTCCCGCCTGCCTTCATCCCACCTCGTCCTCTTGTGCAAGCTTTATCGGAGTATAACGAATCCATCTCTCCTCCTCCTACTTGCTCCATCTTTCCTCGTCACAACTGCCTCCATCCCACCTCCTGCTCAAGAAACAATTGGCCGCCAAGTCGGCATATAACAACCAAAAAAAAAAAAAAAAAAAAAAAACACCTCCTACTCCGGGTCAAGAAACAACTAGGTGCTTTGTGGGGATATAACAACAACAAAGAGAAAAACGCAGTGGCATCCACCCCAGTTCCACCTGCTCGCCTCCATCCCTCCTCCTCCTCCCACCTAACTCCATCCCACCTCCTCCGCCTGCTGAAGATACAACTGGTCGTTTTGTCAGCATATATATAAAAAAAAAAAACAATGGTCATCTACAACGGAAGATGACAACAAAACGAAAAAAAAAAATGAAAGCATCCCTGCTACTTGGCATAAAATAAACAAATGTAACAGCCTCCATCCCTCCTCTTCCCACGTCGGATCCCTCCATGCATCCATCCTTCTTCCTCCTCGCCTCCACCCTCCTTCTCCTCCAACTTCTCCTCGGCTCCATCCCTCATCGTCCTCCCATGTCGAACCCTTGCTCGTCTCCATCCCACCTCCTCCTATCAAAGACCCAACGGTCATCTTCGCTGGAAGATGACAACAACAAAACAAAAAAAGTGAAAGCATCCTCGTACTCATGCAAAAACTGGCCGCTTTGTCGGCATTGAAAAAAAAATGCCAAGGCCTCCATCTCTCCTCCTCTTCCCACGTTGAACCCCTCCATGGATCCATATCCTACCCCTCCATCCATCCATCCCTCTTCCTCCTCCTCCAACTTTTTATCGCCTCCATCCCTCATCTTCCTCCCACGTCGAACCTCTGCTTGCCTCCATCCCGCCTTTTCCTCCTAGCGAAGACCCAGCGGTTATCTATACTGGAGGATGACAAAAAAAAAAAAAAAAAAAAAAAACGACAGCATCCCTCTACCTCACATAAAGACTGACCGCTTTGTCGGCCTTTGAAAAAAAGAAAAAGAAAAAAAATGCGACGGCCTCCATTCCTGCTCTTCCCACGTCGAACCCCTCCATGGATACATCCATCCCCCTTCCTCCTCGCCTCCACCCTCCTCCTCCAACTTCTCCTCTCTTCCCTCCCTCCTCCTCCTCCCAAGTCGAGCCCCTGCTTGCTTCCATTCCACCTCTCCTCCACGTCGAACCCCTCCATGCATACATCCATCCCCCTTCCTCCTCGCCTCCACCCTCCTCCTCCAACTTCTCCTCTCTTCCCTCCCTCCTCCTCCAACCGCGTTGAACCCCTGCTTGCCTCCATTCCACCTCTCCTCCACGTCGAACCCCTCCATGCATTCATCCCTTTTCCTCCTCGCCTCCACCCTCCTCCAAGAGCTTCTCCTCGCCTTCATCCATCATCATTTCTCCCACGTCGAACACCTACTTGCCTCCTACTTGGTGCATGACTATCTGGACTTCTGCGTGATTTCGCAACTTGGTTTTCTGTATATCGCTCCCACAGAGTCCCACTCATATTTGTTGCACATTTAACAAAAAAAAAAAAAAAAACATCCTTCTGCCTCCTCCCACGTCGACCCCGTCCATGCATCCATCCCTCTTCCTCCTTGCCTCAACCCTTCTTCAAGACCCAACGAGTTGCGTCATTCATAGATGGCAAAAAAAAAAAAAAAAACGAAAGGACATTCATCCATCCCTCCTCCTACTCAAGAAAGGATCGTCATCATCGGAAAGTCATATAAGGAAACATGCCATTGGGAGGGATGGAGACCGTCGTCACATGGCTAACAGACGCATTCGAGAAGATCACGTGTGTGTGTGAAGAGAGAGAGAGAGAGAGAGAGAGAGAGAGAGAGAGAGAGAGAGAGAGAGAGAGAGAGAGACCTCAAAGCTGGCTGGTTTCCCGCTGTATTCGCGACACCCGAGCTGAAGGCTGGCTCCTTGATGGCAGAAGACGAGAGCGACCTGCTTTATAGGAGGAAGATGGCAACGGTGGCAGCTGCTCCAACGTTGGCAACGGAGGCAGTAGCTCCAAGAACGAGCGTGGCAGCAGCCTCGACCGGTGGCAGCTTGGAGGAGGCAGCGGCTTCAAGCAGGTGGGCGGCGGGGGCAAATTCAAGCCCTTGTTCAAAATTTTGCCGCCTGTGGCAGCATGGGGGAAAGTTTCCCCTCCTCGTGTCTTGCAGTGTCCGTGAGGCCGAAACGCGCCTAAAAAAAACTCCTCGTATTTTTAACGGCCGCCTAGGGCCCCAACCTACAACTAGGCCCCGCCGACGATTTTTCAAAAATCCTTCGTAGGGGGCCCAAACCGGACACCCAACACACACTACCGGGTCCAGACTGTCTGAATGGGGCTCTGGACGTCCGGTCGGTAGCCATGATATAAACCCGTATTTCATAGTTAATTTGTAATCTTATTGTTTGTTGATTAATTTTTAATTTGTTTATTTTATTAAAATCCACTAAACGTAATAAAGGTGAAAGTGGTCAAAGTAGTCCATCTTGATGCATCAACAATGCTCATGGGGAAAAATGTATCCTTCACCAGTCCATCACTTTGTTTGTTTGTTTGTTTTTTACTCAGTGTGGTATACTTATTTTATTATTTTTACGATGCACTTCAAAGTAGAAGACCCGCATACTGTTTGAGTGTTACCTGCTGCGTTTTTTTACTATATCACACCTTGATTTATTTTGTTGTTTTTTGGAAGGCTGGCTTGGGAAGCTATTCACATATTTTGCATGGAGTAATCGAAAGTTTGCTGACCCATATATTTATTTTTTAATGTGGTGCTTCTTTTTTCTTTTTTCTTTTCATGTGGGTTCAATCAACATGATTGTCTTACCTTTGTTGGGAACAAATGCCCCATCAATGCCTCACACTTGCATGCAGAGACACACACACAATCAAATAGGCACCTGGCACATCACAACCAGTACTTAACCCAACCTTCGAGCTAAAATGTTTGGTGGCGCCCACATGAACTCATTTTTGGTCGGTGTGAAACAAAAGATAAAAACAAACGTGTTCACGTTAGCCGATCTTTTATCATTGCACAACATAAATTTGTATCAGGTAGAAAGGTTTTGAAGTGTTGGTGGTCTAAAGGTACTATACTCCGACAACTACAAACACTTGAGAAAATACCAAATTATGCAAGAAATGAATAATGATATTATTAAACCAATAGTATTTTGCTCATACATATGTTGCGAAAAAAATGAAGTAGAAGCGCTTATACTCGAATGAATCGACACACCAATGTATGGATCCATTCATACAACATTATTGTGGTTTGTTAATCGCCACGACTTTAGGAACTACTGGTGGTTTAAACCACCAATACATCCGAAAAAGGAAATTGGGTCCCTCTTTAACAATAGGAGGTCATAAGTCGTTGATTCAGTTTATTGACGGCCCATGGCCTCCGAATTTGTGGGAGAGGCTCAATCTACTTTTTTGGATGCACTGGTGGTTTAAAGGGGTGCTTTCTATGGAATACCTGTGTCTATGTTTCTCGAGTGATGAACGACATTTGCATTGCTCTTTCTTTGGTCTTGATGGTGGTGTAAACCTATATTCTGGAAGGTTTTCAATATCATGTGAGTAGGTGATACCTTGCTTTGATTCTTGCTTCTTCTACGAGTTTCTATGTTGCTGCATGTTTTGCTCTGTTGGTATCCCGCTCACCCACCCACTTGCCCACCCACTTGCATGGTTGTGTGTTGCACTGTCATTTTGTGCCCTCCCTACTTCCCTTTTGTCTTTCCACCCCTTTGCTTTGTAACATATTGTTGCTTAGTGCATGTTGTGTTGTGTACCTTGTTGTATTGTCAGTAGTGGGCTAAGGTTTCGAAAGCAAATGACCCGCTCAACCTGAATGCATTGTGCATTCGTCATGGACCTGCTACACCAATGAGTCAGGAGTCCCGGACGCATTTTGACCTGGTTGATTTTGTCCTCTCCCGAATATGAAGAAACCATGTGCCTCCATCACCACACATACACAGACACAAACACACACCCTCTTCCCGCCCCTGAACCAAAACCCTTCGAAATCTTGCCCACAGTGATAGCCTGGTGGTGATGGCTACGAGCAAAAACACCTTGACTTGTGCTGCTTGCGCAAGCATATCGATCCCATGCCCTTCCCTGAAACGATACAGAGTATTGAGAAAAGTTAAGAAT